AACTTTCATTGCAGTGCATTTAACCCCAAAAGCTTTTGATGTAATTTAATTTATTTCCACCCAACTCACCAATGGAAGCATTAATTTGGTAAGTGTGGGTCAATGTAGTCAATTAAACATGTTGATGCCATCACTAAGTGGGTTGCAATTTATTCCGACACTACATAAACCGCCTGTTTTAAAGCTGCCATTTCCTCTTCATCGCTTTTCACTGTACACAAATACATGCATAGGTACTTGCTATTTGCGGTGACTTAGATAGATTGCTGCGATTTGTCGGCCCTGTTTGGTGGAATGTGAGGTGACAAATAAACATTAACTACAAGTGGAATTCGTAAGTTTTTGCAGAGATAACTAATCCTTAATCATGAGATATTGGTTCTACGCGACTTAAATGCAGCAGTGGAGAGGCGGCAGCTTTTAAGGCCAACTCACTCATTATTGTAGGCCTCAATTTGACAGCGGCACTTCCTGATGGCATGCAAGTCATTTCAACTTGATGTGCGTTGTGTGTGTGGGATCAGCTCTTCCCATTTTACCCATGAATACAATAGGATGCGCCGTACGCTGGAAAGAGAAGAGCGCATGTAGATACTTGCCGTTTACGGTGAGTTTGTGGAAGGTCGTAACTGGCTCATTCAAACAACGGCTTCATGAATTTCTCTTTAAAATTAGGAAAAGCAGCAATTCGGTTATGTTGATGCTGCTACCAATTAAAAATGAACCCGCTAGCCTTCCTCTTTGAGGAAAGCACGAATTTCCCAAAAGAACTCCCAATCAAATAAGCACAACATGAGGCACAAGAATCTCGCAGAAAAATAACAATGAGATGAATGAAGTGGAGTAATGAAAGTGTGCAAATCGATTTTGAATTGAAAAAGAACTGTCACAAGATGACCAAAAACAGTAGAAAAAGAGAGAAGAACGAGCTGTTTTGAAAGCAAATTGAGAGTGGAAGAAGAAATGTCAAAAAGTTGGGATAAAATCTGGGGTAAAAGAGTAGTTATTTGTAAAATCGACATCCTATGGAGCTGGATAAAAAAAGACAATATAAGATGACCAATCATGGAAAACAACAATGTGATCACATTGAAAACAAGGTGAAAATGCACCACACATTGGACAGCAAAGTACAAAGAGCCGACTGAGCTGATAGAAGCATGAAAAGGAGATAGTTTTAGCGTGTTGAGTCAGAAGTAGTAATTACTGCCAATAGCCTACAGCAGACGGTGTCCTGAACACCTCATCGTTGGAAGTGCAAACGGTGCCTGTGGTGCTCACAGCCCTGACAATCGCACGATAAGTGGTGTCGGGCTGCAGGTTGTCGAGGGTGTGTGCCAAGTGCGAAGGCGACTGTTTCGATTCTCACGACTGGAAAGGAAGAGGTGATGATCGAGACTGCAGCCACCTCAACGAAGTCCACGTTGCCCTTTCCCATGCTTTGAACATTCCACTTCAACTTAATGGAGAACGGCTCAATGCAGTTCCATTAGAAGTGTGGCGGGAGCGTAGTGTCTGTCACAAAGTATACAAAGGGAGCCAGACGGAGTATAGCCTTCGTCGAATTTTTTTCTTAATACGTCTTAATGCTTTGTTATATGCTTCAATATATCATTTTATATTTTTGTCTCGTGTTATTAGTTGGTATTTTCTATACTTTGCCTTATCGTTTTGTATGTCAGATGCGCCTTGAAAATAATTACATGTAATTTTCTCACCGATTTTATTTCTTTTTTTCTGCATTTCTGCTGCAATGTACGTCACCACAAAGACGAGGCCGAACAGAAACAGCATTTCCGACGTTGTCAACAAATAATCCCCTTAATCCACCTTGCTTTTATGGGGCAAACATTGAATGATGCCAACCTATGGAGTGCCTTGACCGCACCCACAATTCTACTTTCGGTTGGGTACACGTTGAATCCCCAGCACGTTGGATTGCGCTTGAATTTTCATGCCAGAAAGACGGCCAGTTGAATACAACAGGTATCTGTCCCACCAACACGTAGGCTTTCGTAAGTGTCGCTCGAGCATTCACCACACTCAGGCCTCTACGTCCCTTAGGTCTTGAAATTTCTTGAATCAGGACTGCTCAGCCAACCGACGCCACTGAAGTAGCGATATATTTGCTCACCTCTGCAACACAGGCCAGATATATCCAAATCACTCGAATAAACTGGTTTTGTACAGCTCGAAGCTCCCACTTTACGTCAACACCCGATTGTTTCAAGCTCAATTTTCTTGAGCACACGCAGAACTTTGTAGTTTTTGTGCATTCAAATGTACATCGTGGGCGTGGTAGGTGGAGCCACGACGGTTCGTAAAATAAGGATTCGTAAGATAATACCTGCACGAATTCACCTATCTGTGAATCGACAACAGTGAATACATCAAGGCTGTAAGAGGGCACGTTGTGCCACACTTGAATTGCCTCCACTTCTTAACACCACCAACTCGTGGAGGCAAATGCCGACTCTTAGCTTCCCAATTACAATGTTGAGCATGCATTATAAGGTGAAAGTGTGACTCACTATCCCAACCATTCTGTGCAGTATGCCAGCCTACATGTTGGTAGGTAGGCACTCTCAACTACACGTCATCATCTCGTCTTAACGATTAAGCTAGTCTGAGGTGTTTGAGTCCAGTTCTCTGTTTTTTCTTAATGAAAGAGCATAATGGTAGCGGCATTAAAGCAAGTGGCAGTTTATGCTGAAGAAGGGAAGAGCAATGAAGTCAAAATTGTCAGCAGGTAGAACAATGTTGAGGTGGATGAGAGAAAATGCTACGTGTGGCACACTGAGAGTGGAGTGAAATACAAATGTACATGTGTAGATTGCCTCGTGTAAGCAGCAGGCTTTTAAGGCAAATATGCAACCAAGTCACGTTTACATCTCATCTCTCACTGCTTTATCGAACTTGTCACTTTTGCCTACGAGGCCACTTCCATCCTAAGCTGAAAGCACCGTCGCACATCGTAACTGCCACAACTCGCTTCCTGTTTACCGCCTTTGCAATGACAACGCGCCTTCACCTCTCGTTTTGCTCGGTGTATTTGTAGTCATGTCCTGTGGCAAGTCCCAAGACTTCACTTTTTACATACAAGCGCATCTCAAATTTGTGGATAGTTATTCAAAGCTAATGATGAAATCGGCATCACCAAGAAAACCTGCTGGAGTAAATACAAGCATATTTTTTTCGACTTCTTACGTATTTGCAATTGCACATGTGTGCCAATTTGCACAATGCCATGCGCGAACACATAGCAGGTCGGGCTCTGTCCGGTGCATGCCTGTCTCATTCTCTATTGCATAACATTAGCGAGGTGGAAGCTTTCGAACGACTCACTCGACGGAATGCTGCCATCGACGGCAAATTTGATGAGTGTCAATGTTTCTGCCTCTTTGTATCAAACAAGGCCTTTTTGTACTGAGACGTTGTGTTTATTTGGACCAATGTGACCAGTTTGGTAGATTGACGGAGATCGCATTTGCATTACTGACACCTTTTATACTACGACTCATTTAATTTAATCAGCGTTATTGCTTTTGCACTTCTGCATGCCCATTTGCGCACTTCCACTTCATCCCAACCTTAAGGTTAACACAACTTTCCGTTTCGTGAATATGCTTCTTCGTGTACACTCGTAAAGCCTATCTTCGCACCTACCTCTCTTCCTCACCTTCAATAAAGCATTGCATTTGTTTTTTGAGATGCTAGTCAGTTAGCGCAAATAATGTCAATGAATGTCAGAAGAGTTGTGTGTGCAACATCACCGACAATACATTGAAATGCCTTGTGTAATGCCTAAGGTAGCATCGATGTTGATCTTGGGTGTGACAGCTGTGGCTTCTCTTTTAACTGCATGAAGCTAATCATTTACCATCTTCGTCTCACTTTCTGTAGCCACAATTCACACGACCCTCCCTGCGTCCCTCCTCTTAAATATGGGGTTTATATAGATGCAAAAACATAAGAAGTGACCATTGTGAGTCCTTCACGCCTAAAACTTGACTGATGCTAACCCACGATATTTATGGTTACCTTCATCTGATGGCATTACTCTCTCACACGTAATTACTAGCCACTTCATGATTGTTAACTTCTTCACACACTACCATCAATGTGTTATATGCAGCGCCATCTCCACTAATCACTATAATCCCATTACTACACCGGATTTGCAGCCCTTACTTCTCACAACCTACCCAATTGTGTAGGCACATTGTGCGCCTCGCGTCATACAGCATTCAAGTGCACACGTTTGGAGGCATCTCTCCCTCTATGCAAATGCTTCGGGTAAATTTTGCGAGATCGAACCATGCCCTGATTCACATTTCTCTTATCTTTCGTGCTTCAAGGCAATGAGTGCTTGCTAACTGGAGCTACTTCGGTCTTCATATTTGGCACTGGTGTTTGCTGCCATGTGACAATGAGTGGATGAGACCATATCTGACCATTTCTTTTAAGAGGTGGCACTGTGACATTGCGAAATGCTTTTCTAATGTTCAGATGATAGCACTTTAAAAGCTGTTTACATAATCCTTGAAGCCAAACTGCTGCACAAGCGCAAAGGTGAGTCTCTGTGAGAAGGGAGAGGGTAACATTAATAAGAAATTGGACCTCAACTTTTACACTTGCGTTTTACCACTAATTGTAATATGGATCAAATATCTCACCGCATTCTTGTTCCCAGCTCAAGACAGCTTAATAATAAAGGCTCAGCAGGACAGCCACTCACTGTGTCGGCGCAAGTTTTTCTAGTTTTCGCGACGAAAGGCTGCGCAGTAGCTTAATATCGAAGGCTAGAAGCACTAAATAGGCGAAATTTGGACTGCAGGTGCAGTCGATGCAGATTACTTACAGTCTCACTTTGTGTTGCAAGGACTTCAGTCACTAGATAAACTAACATAGTAGCCACGATGCTGGGAGCCGCCATTAAGGTTTCTTCCGTCTGTGCACATGTTTTATGCATTTTGTCTTCGAAGTGCTACTTTTTAAGCATGGGCGAGGACTGCATTCACCTCGCTGAGGTAGCTGCAGTCTCATTCTTCTGCAACTCTTCCTCCTTTTCAGTCGTGCGGATCGAAACTGTAGCTTTCACACCTGACTCTTTCACCCTCGACAACCTGCAGTCCAACACCACTTATTATCCGACTGTCAGGGCTGTGAGCACCGTAGTCGCCGTTTGCACTTCCACTGCTGAGATGTTGGCAACACCTTCTGCTGTGCTAAAGTTGAGGATGACATTTTGAACTGGACTGAGTTAGCGCCACAGCACACTGTTAAATGAAAGGGTTTGGCCCAACAGATGCGGTCAGGGAGCTGCAATTTACTTTGGTCAAAGCATCGTAGCATCACTCTGTGGCCCACATACACACACGGCAACAGCGACGGAGGCGCACACATAGCGCCATCAGCGCGGAGCAAAGGCGAGCGAAGACCAGAAGGTGCAGCAAGCGAGCACCCAAGGAGAGGAATGATCTGGCACATAGCGCTTGTTCACACCTACCACCACCATCATGCAGGAACAGTGTAGCAGTCGTCTCCAGTACGGTCAATTCACTGTAGGCGAAGGAATGACCACTGCGGTACCAAGGGCCAACCGCGCTCATCGTAATCGCACAGCCGCAACAGCACTAGCGGTGGAAGCTCACATGGAAGCTCCGATTCACTCAACCCCGACTCACTTTCCTCCGACCCATTGTGCCCTCTTCTCCCCTTGCCAACACTTCCCACCCCCACAATATCTCATAATTTTTTTCTTCTCTATGTTCATGCCAACACATTTCCCGTTCACTCACTTTCCCACGCAAATCCACCATCTTCCCACTTTCGACTTCTTCCGCTTCCGCTGACTTTACCTCCAGTCTTCCCTTACCTACTCCTTTTCTTTTAGCAGCCTCCTCCTTCTCCTTTTCCTTTGCCTTACTTTCCGCCTCCCCTCACTTAACTACACAACCACTCGCCTCACTCCATCTGGTTCCTTCTACGCATTCTTATATTTATTGCTACTGAATTGGTCCCAGTAACAACGTGACTCAAGTTGCGGGATATGCAATACTTGACCTTACAGTGCACCACAGTGATCTGCGATTAATACTTCTACGACGACCACTACTACTATTACTGCCACCACCTCTTCATCATTATTACTTCCATAGAGCCGTGTAAGTAATAATTCCCCAAAGACTGCAGGTAATTTAACCACAAGGCAAAGACAGGTGCTTTTCCTTCTCGTCATATACTTTAGTTCCACTTAAGTCTCAATTTCCCCCAACATTGAAAGGAACTCCTTGTGTCTACGCTTCATGCCCACTACATGTTTCTCAAAGCCACAATATCTAAGTTGCCTGTACAGGCGAAATAAAAATTTTACTACAGCAGCTACAAATCCACCCACATGTGCGAATTGCAGTCACATGCTATAAAGGAGACCATTGTAAATCAAAACCATAGCAGACGCGCTCCAATTCCCGCATATGTAAAATAAAAGTAGCAGGGTGTAAGGAAACAGTTCATCACCTAAGGTGACCGATACACTAGCAGTACTTTATGGAAGGGTCACAATGCAAACTTGTTCTGTAAGTGTTGAGTTCAAAAGTTCAGCCAGTTGTTAAAGTACATTATACGGAGTACCCATCAATAATAAACACTACGTCCCTTGAACCACGAGGGAGGATGAAGACGCAGTGAGCCCAATCGTGCACTTGCTCAAATTACATTAAAATGCCACCAAAGATGCACACATGACTGTTATATGACAGCTGATTGTAGCTATGCCCTAAATGGTTGGCGGAATTGTGTCACATAGAGACTTTAAAGTCGACGCATTGAGTAGTGGAAGGACTTGCATTGCATGACTGCACATTTTGTTTGCATTGAGACAATAAAATTTAACCAACAAATAGCAACCAGTGATTCGATTTGCTAGGGCGGTTGCAACAAAAGATTCCAATGAAAAGAAGTCCTCATTGTGAATTGTAAAGAGGATAAATTGTGCGTAATTAGTGCCCAAAATAACCGTTTTTAATGACTATACCATTGCAGAGCTCAGATTTGCACTGGTAAGATGAATTGACTTTGACCATCATTGTCACTTCTGCTGATGCTACAATGGGCCTAGAAAAGTTATGGTAGATGCAACTAAACGCGAGCATCGAATCATGCAAATCTCTAAGGCATTTCTTTCATTTGTGGATTCTTCTGGTTCCTTATTGCCATCGAAAGCTACCAAGTGAAAGAAAAGTTGATGAAATGCAGATATGGGAGGCAATAGTGTGGGAGTGGACACAAAGATGTGGTTTTGGCAAGTGACGTCGTCTGTGCCAGTGAAATGAAACGTAAACCGGAGCAGAAGGAGACTAGATGCTCTTGCACAAGTGTGGTTGCTGGCCTTCTTTCTCCACGCCAAAGTCTCGTCACCATCCACCTTGTAGTAGTAAGAAGTATGCCAGCAGTCCAAATTGCTAACCAGTGCCATTTGAACTCACCACATCTCAGCACCAAAATGCAAATTTTAGTCGAAATGCGTCCTCCTCTAGAACACAGTGGCACACAAGACCATAGTATGAGTTGCTAAAACGACGGTATCCGCACATGCGCGACAGTACGTAGCTTGCCCACACATGCGTTTTTAAAGGTGCAATTAAGAAGACAAATGTGCTTCTACTTGCAATAACAACTTCACTGCAGCAGCTAAAAAGTACATATTTGTGCGTATTTTGCTGTCACATGCTATAAATGAAGGTCTTGTGAACCACAAACACAGCTACACGGATACAATAAGAGTGATCCTTTTACCTCTGAATTGGCATAGCATTATAAGAGGCATAACACAAAAAAAACTTTTTGATGAATTGTTTGTGTGGATGCCTAATGCCTTACAACAGTGTTGTACTGAATCCACTTTCAGTGTTAAAGATGGCACACTTCCACGCATGAAGTACAACATTCACCATTTTTGAAACTGAGTGTCGACAGTTTGTAAGTTGTCTATTTTTCCTGACACACCAGAAGCTAGGAGACGCGTCAACGCCTGCCCGGTGCATTTAAGCAGGAAGAATTTCTCTTGCTTTTGCCACAGATGGCACGTTCGAAATAAAATACGTTGGAGTCGGCATTCAGAGATTTAAAAAATACACTCGTGTGGGTTGAAGTGTCCGCTGTGATGCTGAAAACGATGGGTGTGGAATGAATTCTCACTTTTGCAAACTAGCCGTTTTATAATCTACACAGCTTGTCACCTCCTCCGGTTGGTGTTGTGCAGAATTCGAGGTTGTGCGTGAACTCGATTTCAGTCTTGTACCGATTGGACTCTCAATTAACTTACGTATTTTGTACTAGCAATTCAGACAGATGCATTTTTAATGCACTTTTGCACAATTTGACGCTCTTCGTGACTGCAAAATCTGCAATCGGAATATTTTCTTGATTAAACATAATACTAATATATTTTAGATGACTCCTCTTAATTCGAACCCTTTAAACATCTCAATCTACTCAGAATTGAGCGATCTTCTAGTCTAATCACTTTCTTTATGGCGCCGATTACGTGAGCTCCCACTGCAGCAACTGGTATTGGGGAGACTCATACGGCAATGTGAGTGACGATGGGGCAGAGGCGTCTGTTGCAATTCAATCGCTTCTCCAGTGGGTGCGATTCGCTGACAGTAAGAGTTAAGATTGAATGTGTAAACGTCGACGTGTTGTGCATTGTACAGGCAGATGAAAGTGGATTTGTGGGTGAGGGTCAAGGCACGCCATAGGCCAGCATGCGCAAAGTCACTTCTATAAATGCTCATCGGGTTACAGATGAGATGTATTAGCAACAGTGAAGATGGTGTTCTCCTTCTGTTTCCTTTTACTTACCACTTATTACATTGCGGCAGCGGATGAGTCCAGCGGTGAGTAGCAGTGAACAATTTCATCCGGTGTGCGTCAAGCAGCAGATGAAGTATAATACTATACATATATTCCATCTAAGATCCAATAGCAGTCAAAGTGTAAGAAGAAGCACGGAGGAAGGATGCAGAATTGCAATAGTCCATCCGGAGCTTGAGAATAAACCGCAGTACGCACCCATGCTGGCGCAAATAGAGTAAAAAAATGGACGGAATCTGAACTTTAGAAATGACATTGTAGGAGAGAAAACAAGTCAAAATGAGGGGGGTGCGATCATTCCAACCCTATGTTAATGTTAACCGAGGCGACGATTTGGCCTGATGGGGGGAAGCTGTGGTATTTTGCCATTTTAGGCAGTTGTCATTAAAGTGTCTGTAGTAGTCTTACTTGATGACGATGAAAAGGGAAACCGTAGTAAAATAAGCTCGGCTCCTTCTTGTTTCTTTTACAGAATCAGCGGCAGATAATTTGCTCCCTCAGCACTTCTACTGGAACCACATTGATCCGCACTCTATTGAGCTGAAGTGGGACGTTGACAAATTGGATGAGTCGTACGCAGACCTCATCGAAGTATCTGCTGTTGCAACAACCGCCCCGTTTAGGGTAAAAAGTGTTCCTTTCTCCCTTGGTACACTTACTCTCGAAGACCTGCAGCCCGACACTACATATCATGCAACTGTTAAGGCGCTGAGCATCGCAGGCACCGTTTTCACGTCAAACGAGGTGTTCAGAACACCACCCATCGGTAAGTCATTGGTCATATTTTCCGATTTCGCCTCTCTCTGTTCAGCAATATCACAACTTTTCGTGCGTCCACTCATTCAATGCATAGTGGTTTTTCTCATTTCTCATTTTGTTTTGCTGCTTCATGGCATTTCGGTTAACGCCAACACCTACATTGAAAGTGTTATCGAAAATGGAATTTATTTTCTCTCTAATTCTAGACTACGCCGATTTCATCAAAGACTAGTCTTTTTTGAGTGAGTCTGTGTTCTGAGCACTTATTCCTCCTCTTTGGAATACTCAGTCGGCGACCATTTTCCTCCATTACAGCCCCTTCTGAAAGGGACGTCTTTCGCCTTCCAATTATTGTGACTTTGGAACGCTGCTTTTCTCTCCATATTCATTTATTTCAAGTGATAATGAACTTTATAGAAACGCATTTTGATCCTCTTTTAAATTGACAACCACTGTTTGTTGTGTTCCAAAAGGCAGCTCCCTCAAGCCAACCTAAACGAGCTGAGGGCACGATGACCTTCACATTGGAAGATCTCCAACTAGCACCCCACTTTGTTCGCATTTGTATAAAAAGGGAGTTAAAAAAGTCATCGTAACGAACTGCTGAAATTGGAAATAAATGGGACGATGCGAGGAAAAATGTCGCGAAAAATGCGTTTAAAGGCATGAGAAACACTGTGATGAGCCGTTCTCTGCTTACAATGATTGAGAGATCTCAAACAAAAGTTATCCCGAAAGGGTTATGACTCGTCTTTTAAACTGATGACAGACAAAAACTACATGCAAATGTCATACCTACCTGTAGACATCAGAACGCAGCAAATGCAGATCCTTCTGCCTCTAGGTTATCAATTGTGCCGCCACAGTCAGGTGGAAGACCTCGGAAGCAAAGCACACTACGAGTGTTGCATGGGGAGCGATATCGTTTCCTTCATGGTAGCTTATCACTTCGATTAAATGCTTAGTATGATAACTTCGGTGGAATGTTAAGTAGGAGGGCACTTGTACCTTTTCACCTTTGATTAGCCCTTATCCAATTTTATTTGCTGCTTTCTATGCCACTTGTCTATAAGTGTTGCACACTTCAATAATGAACAAAATTGGTTATGGCTAAATTAGAAGGGGAACTTGAAAAACTCGTATTGTTGATATCTTACAATGGTAATCTTTGCTGAAAGTTGTCGAGTGAAGATCAAATTTGCTTCTCCCCTTGCATGATTATGTTATGCTCACTTTCAGGCATTTTTATTTTCCCACCTTGGTAAACTAGTGATTGAGGTTGGTTGCACGCTGCCGAAACAGGAGAAACTAAGATAATTTTAATTCCTATTTATACATTTGACCATGAGAAAATGATGTGCATGAACGACTGGCGGACAGACTCATAATAGCATCCTTCCATCAGAATGACTATTGACGGAACGTGTCCACTTTGGGGAAGCGGCGATCTTAACCAAATGTCATCAGTGGAAACAGAAGATCACATGAGTCTTGCCTGTGGAAGGCGTTCAAATCTGACAATAATTGCCGCAGTAACTGGTGGGAGCAGAGTTGGAATTTACTAAAAAATGTCTATTCACCACCTTGGTGGCAATGCGTGTCAAAAACGTATGGAAAGGACTTTTAGTCGCATCAAGTGGAATGCTTAAATTGAAAGGTCATCCGAATTTAAGTTTCATTCTGCGAATGCTGCCCAATCGCGTTCATTTTATCATTGCAATCCCAATCAAAATGGGATGTCAATAAAGGCAAATGGATATGACAGGAGTTGTTCAACTGTGTTACCGTTTCCAATTCAAATTACTTCGAGGGCATGCACGGCTTAAAGGGCTGCCTTGTGGTACTGTAAACGAGAACTGACTAACATAATTCCTGTCATATGCCTACCTGCATTTAAGAAGTATGTAGCATCAATTGAAATGAGTAGGAAGTCGACCAAGTCCACCTGCCATGTGAACTCCGCCAATTTCTCAGGCACAGATGGTTCATCTTACAATTATGACCAATTTAGTCGAACCGCATTGCTGAGCCCCAGTGTGAGTAAAAAAGGCGGTGTAAATGGGTGGGAAATGAATTTGCATTGAAATATTCTAAAGGATTTGTTGTTGTACACAAAATGTCATGTGCCAGAAGTCATTTTTGATACGTTCTAGAAAGGAGGCCAAATCGGAACCTCCCACGCTTAAATCTTATCGAAAGATTTTGTGCAAGCGTTGTCGCTTGCGCCAATTTTTTGCAAATTACCACACGTTTTGTCACAAAACAGAGAAGTGAGAGGAGGACTTGTCTCTCGATAACCACAACAACTATTGATGCTTTTAAATTGATTCAGTCGCCACTAGTTGATCATAGATGTGGCGACACCGCATAAACTCACCTCCCTTGTGATGGTGTGGGCCACAAAAGCATAACCTGATGCACACATTTGCCTCCTAAAGAAGAAGAAGTCGAAAAGAGGTTGAGGGGTAGATAGTAAAGCATTTTATGATGACCAGCTTTATAACGACATTATCATTACAAAATCATTCGTTGAAAACAATGGGTAAAACAATGAGGGAGATATTGTGCTTAACGGGGAGAGCAGCTTCTAGCGCACGGTGTCTGCTCTCCCACTACCACCACCACTAATTACACCTGCATCGGTGTAATTAGGACGCGTCACGTGGCTCAGCGTTTGTGAGGTTGGCAACTCTCCGCAATAAGTACAAGAAACTTGGATTCTAGAACGCGAAACTGTGAAGCTGGTTTCGTGTGGTTTGCTCGATAACACTAGAAGTGATGTTAGTCATGTTGATTGTCGTGCTCATTTGCATTGGTGGTGGCGACAATAAACCTTTGACTCCCGCATCGATAGCCTCACGACAAATGTCAATCCACGTTTTTACCTGTGAGCGACAAACGCCAAGTTTCGTCCCTTGCACAGCTCCAGCACTCCTCAGTGCGTCGAAAGGGATTTCGTTGGCAAATTGCATGACTGCACATTGACGCTAATCCTGGGCGAATTCGCCTTAATTAATTGCATTTAGCCAGCTCCAAGTCGTAAGTCGACTATTTAGGGGTTGTCTTAGTGCTTGTGACATAAGTCTTTCATAAAGTCACGCAAATCCGCACAATCGTTGTTAAAAGCGCACGTTTAACGTGTGCACAGTTTGCAACAAAATCACTTTGCCATATCTTCAAACACAATGGATGTTATCGAGTCGCATGCAGGTGACAATCTCTGTTTGGACACAATTGTTCATGGAAGTACATATAATGCCTCGAACTAGGGAAGCTCTTCGACGCACCGCCATTTACACGCATAACCTTAAGCTAATCGTCCACTCTTGATGGATCTGCACCTGCGTCAAGATTAGCACTTACGTCTCTGACGCGCAATGTTGGATGCACTACTTCCTATCGTAAATCCCTACCATCGCTACAAATGAAGTTGCTTTATTTAGCTTCTCCCATACATCGGGCGCAATGACTTTACCCAACATGAAATGTTTGACATGGATTCAAAGTCCTCATCCGACACGTAGGATGCGAAGGTGAGCTGTAAACAGCCGCTGCACCAACTTTATGCGGTAGATGATACGGTAGTGTCTAGATACCTGAATCACTAAGTAGATTGGCATAGGCACAGGTCTAAGGAAAATACTTACCTATTTCCCGTTCTCGTTAATCCTATCACCCCGAAGATAAATGCTCTGATTTCCCATAATTGAGGACTTGGCAATTTTATGGACCAAGCTAGTGGCAACGATGATCTGAATTCTTTTAAAGGCAGCGATGGCAAAAATGGAGGACGGATTTGTAACTAAACTTCCTCAGCACTACCGATGGATTCGTGTGGACTGGAGATCCATTGATTTGGGATGGGACGTCGACGCTTTGAGTGGACTCAGAGCAGACGAAATGAAGCTAACCGCGTACTACTACACTAACTCTATCAACTACGTGTATCAATCTGTCCCCTTCCTTTATGACAACCTCACTCCTGATAGGGTGAAGTCCAGCACCCTCAACGAAATGCATCGTACAACCCATTCACAATCATACCGCAACTCTTAAAACGCTCGCCAAGGGTGAGTTAGTAAATGTGCATACTCACTATTTTTTGTGTTCTGTTGTACCGATGTTATTCGCGTGGCTGTGTAGCTGAGAAAACCAAACTGAGAGCCACAACCGCAAAGTCATATGTTTTATTAACACTACGGCATGTTTTCGCTGCAGGACATGGTGCCGCCATTGCTCCCATCGGACTGACTTTACTTGACGGGGTCTTCGGACTCGCAATGCTTGCATGACGGTGGCCTTTGCTAAAATTCTCTTGTGCATCCAGACAGGCGTTTATACGTAAGTTATATTCTCCACATATTCATGGCCACTCATCGTTTTGTGCTTTTAGTTGTTAGACCTCAGAAATGCACCACTTGCCACTTATTTTCTGTGCAGCAACAGTGCCGTGACTCCTCATCTCCGACTCTCTTGTTGATTATTTGTGGCAATAAACGACTTTTTGGTGTGTTTCTTGCGAGGTACTTTCCGAAACAGGCATCTGCACAAAACGCATTGCTTACAACAGTCCAAGGCATTATCTGTACTCCAATGAACAATTGTGTCCAAACAGAAATTGTCATCTGCATGGGACTCGATAACAACCCTTGTGTTCGAAGATATGACAAAGTGATTTTGTTGCAAACAGCGAACTCCTCGATAGCAGACACTTAGTAGTGTACAGCTCCAAAAGCCCAGTGCATTTGGGATTTTTGGCCAATGCCTTACGGTGGCTTCAAATGCGCAGTTAAGCACTTTTATGCAGGCGTCGGTAACTATAACCAGTCAGTGCAGAACTGCCTCGTGTGGCTCCAAATTAAATAGCAATGTAGGATTTTGGGATGCCATTAAGGACTTTGGCTTTGAGCTCACAAGCCAGAGACAGTGCAGCCCCAACGCGCTACCTTTCAACATCCCCGCCAAAGCTGGCCCTCTGTCGCAATTGTGCTCACGACCCACAGTCCCTTGCATTATGACATCGGCTTGATGGGTGGGGCAACATTGTCCGTTACCCTTTTCCTGCATGGAAGCCACTTTATGGGCATAAATCCCCAAATTCATGATGGAAAATGCTTTCAAAATAAGGCATTGTTTCTTGCTGCTGGACCAGTTGGCAATTACATATCGGTTGATGAAAATTGCTTTTTATTCCTTGGCAACCTTCTATCTCAATCGCATATATCGGGTCAGAGTCACTACAACAGTGCAAATAGCACAGTCAGTTCATTTATCACTAAATGCTGCCCAACATCCAATCATACGCAAAGTTCCTTTTTTTCGTAATAACCGCAGATGTCGAAGGAATGGAGGTTCTTCCGAAGTGAAAGCAATTTTTAACGTGTGTTGCTAAGACTCAGTGCCACAGCATGGCTCGACAGCAGTTGCAGTACCACAAGGACACTATTTGCGTCTGCTAGTTTCAGCAGCTGCCTTCTTCTCTGCCTTATTTTCCAACTACTCCGCATCATTTTTTTTGACCTTTCACTTTTGATTGGATTATAAGATTGCATGTATTTTATCCTCCTCCTTTTCCAAACAACCAAAGGGTAATTTCTATATTTGATTTTACTTTCTGTGCCGCACAAGTCTTATTCTCTTATGGACTTCTGCCCCACTTACTCTTGAGCCTGTTGTAATGCTCCGAAGTTAAAGCCTTTTTGCCTCTGATGATCCGAATTTTAAATTCAGTTTATTTTTGTGCCTTTTGTTGTTGAGTAGCCAGCAAAATTGCACTTGGCTTGATTGTGCTAGTTTAAGCACGCTACGCTCTTCGGTACAATGCATGGACTTGACACTGCCTATTTTTAATACTTTCTCTTAACACTTACCTCGAAACATTGCTGCCTACCATGGAAGGTTTAAAGCTGCTCTGCTGCTATCTTGCATTCCACTTATTCTTCGTCCGGTGGCAGCTAATTGCAGAAAATCGTTACATAATGAGCACGTGAATTGTCTCACCTGACAGTAGCATCAGTGTCATTCAACTATCTCGTGGTTTGTTTCATGCTGGCCTTCGTCCCTCTTACTTGTCCGCAACAGCCACCAATTTTTGGACCAAACACACGGCAAGGGTTATGCTCAGCCGCTTTTGACGATAATGAGATCGGCTTCACCAAGATTGGGACCATTCGCAGCAATGCAGCCGCTTACATTTATGACTAATCCCGTTTGAGAGAAGAGGCTTAACGTCGGTGTCACCAAGGCGTCATTCTCTCAACAACACCTGGAAACAATCAGTGTGGACTGCGTGATAGGTCCTCCCGATCAGCCTCTTTAACAGCGGTCATGCTGATTTTGACATTAAACCCAACGTCTTATTAATTTTAAGCATCGTGAGAGGATGCTGTTCAGTGTGCACTCATTTCTATCTACACCAACTTTATGGGCCTGCCTTACAGTTAGAAAGTGGAGGCGCTACGAATTCGCCTTTTACTTTACGCACGCAAATACACCTGTCAGTGACAAGCAGACTTCTATGCATCCATCTATTGTGCTGCGTTATCATTTCACTTTGAGATTAGGTGAACGACAGTGTGTCCATGGATGTAGCAAAGAGAGTAAAAGGAGGATAGTCGATTCGTGAGATTCTGGATACACGCAGTATATTGCGTGTCATGAGGAACTCCCGTCACCAATACGCACCAATACGCATAAACCTACTTCCACCTTCGTAATGATACAGACACTCCGCTGATGCAGCGGATTGAAGTCCACGCACGTCTGAGTGTCTATCTGCGTTTGTACGCTTTGTAGTCGCAGTCCTCGTCAGTCACAAAATCCAGATTTGGATCTTGCTAGCCTTTAAATTATTAAAAATCCTTTTAATGGGTCACTGTCTCCATGCCGATTCGATAAGGAAAAGCCTCATTTTATTTCAATCTCGATGGCTGATCAATCAATGGTCCATTTAATAGAAAGTGTAGTTAGGATGCATGGCAGGGTAGTTCATCCTTTCCACTTTGGATCGGCCAGAGGTCGAGTACATATGCCACCTTGGTCCGCCTGTAGGTATTGCACACAACAACGGCGAGCATGGAAGGCGTGACCGAATCGGACAATGAAGTTGGATTAACCTGTGGTATTCGTGGCACACAAGGCGATGACTTGCTGATTTCGACAAATAGGAGATCAGCGAGTATAATTGATTTGACCTACACATTTGACCATCATTTTATTCTGAAAGTTAGCAACTGAGACGAAGTGCACTCCTCCTAAATCTAGTTTCACGGTGAAAGCTCATGTAGCCGACTTCAAATTAAAATACTTTTTACTGCAAAATATGCATCGTACTGAAGTCCAATGGATAGGTTCTTCACAGAGCACTTCCATCTGACGCGTCGTTGATGATGGCAGTTGAAGTGGTGCATAATAACAGGCATGTGAGGTGTAGCTTGTCGTGTCAGCGATTTGATTCGCTCAAAATCGGGTTGTCAGGTGCGCTGCAACTTGCGGCTGGAAAGACCGCGTCCACTTTGAGACATGTAAGGTACCATCGCGATGCAGTGGCCACCTGAAGCGAAGGCGACGGTAAGTGGTGAGGAGCTTTAAACACTTGTGTTAAGATCGGCTTACCGAGACATGAGATGAGCCTGTGAGAGTCATTCAAATCGGACAGCACTTACAACAGCGAGTGAAGGGAATAGGCAGAGACTTCTCACGCAAATTCGCACAATCGGTGGGAGAGCAATTAAACATTGCTAAACGGGCACGCTTTCAGATGAGCACTCAAATAATATCATCAAGGCATCCTATTCAGCAATGCCGAATTCAGAGACCTCCCTGAAGTACACAACTTATGCTGATTGCATTCCCTCAGTACAAAGGTGCTTCACATTAATAAGTTCCTCTCAATTGTAGGAATCCCCGGTGGCAAAGTACAATCCAGGCGTTGATCTTGGAAACTAGGAATGCTGTCAAGATAGCCTGGCGTATTGTGGCGCATCGCTTAACTTAATGGGTGAGAAATTGTCGTAAACCACATGCAAATATTCTACAACTTCTCAAAGGGTATTTGCAGGATGCATGTGTATTTGTGTGTACGTAAGTACAGAGATTACATGAATGGTCATTTCGTTTCAAATTTTGTTGCACGAGCCATGTAGTGTTGCCATTTTTGTGCACTATTTGTTGCATGTCGTAAATGTTTCGTTCGACCTCCAAGGGCATTTGCATAATTTTATTGGCTCATGTCAACTCTGTCGCATCAATAGCATTAATAAGGTCCAAATACAAAATGGCAAAATTTAATAACAATTAACCTGTTTGGCGCAGCTCTGTACGGCCTGGTGTACATTACATTACTGTACTACAATTACTTTAGGCACCTAATCGAATTACGGTAAACTTGAGGACTTCGATCCAGTTTAATAAAATTCCTCACTGCCGCACACATCCCTACCATTATGGAACCCATCACGTCTCCTCATGGCTCATAAAAACACTACGGACCCTTTTCCTGTCCACCTACATCAGTCCATGTTACAAAGATTGGATGGTGCACGGATGTGTTGAAGGTTTTGTTTGATGCAAAGTGAGAAAGAGCCACCCTTGACTCTGGACCTCCACCTGTGGGGTGATGCCTTACTCACACACTCGATCATCAGAAGCGCCGTGATTCCTCCCCTCTCCTTAGTTCTCCGCTGTCCTCTACTTGCATGCTTCCAACACTTTGTCAACATGAGTTCTGTGGCAAAGTGGAAATGACGACACGAAAACAGCTCTAACGGGCACGTATTATGTCATTGTGGGCTCAAAAGATGGCTGGGTCGAAAGCTTAAATCTTTCAGCACGCTTTAATGCACAACTAGCGCATAATAAATCAACTTGTTTTCAGACTGTCTGTAAGGTTGTGGTAGCAGTCGCTGCCTTCCTCCGTAAATAGCACGCAAATACTTTATTTTGGTATTCTTTATGTCATGGTTTGTTTTATGTTCGTTCACTCTGTACTCCATTAGTGACATGATCTTTCCTTGCGTTCCGCCATCAAATCTGTTGTCCTTGCGATTGGCCAAGTT